CATCTGGCTGAATATCACGGGCCGAAAGTTTTTCCCTTGGAGATCGCGAGCGCTGCAACAATGGCGAGAACTGCTATTCGCACTCTTCCTGGACACGCTCGTGTTTTTCGGTGGCTGCGTGCGCAGAACGACAGCGCCTTGCACGCTGACGAGCTGCGGTTGACGATGATCCCTGCTGGCAGGTTGTCGCCAGGGCATTGGAAGTCGAAATCGTATGTTGAGCATATGGCTGCCGCCTGCCGTGGATCTACTTCTGAGCCTGCGACTGAGGCTGCCCGCGTTTGTAGGCCCCCTCGAGTCCCCCTCGAGGCCTTTAAGCCCCAGCGGGCTGCGAAGATAGCGCGCGCGCAGCGCTGGCAATCGCGCTCGCTCGATTCGCCCCTGAGGTCTCGCCTGCGCAAGATGCCCCCAGCGAAGGCCCCTGAGATTGCCCGAGAGGATTTTGTTGATGCCCGCCAGGTTTTAAACGAAGTTCCCCCGTCCTGGACATAATCCTGGCTCAGAGCGGTCTCTGGGGGGGGGGGGGGGGAGGGTGCTTACGAGCCATCGTATTTTTGCATGCTCGAGGAAAGCTGTCGTGTCTTCTTGGATGCGCAAATCAGCCAGATTCTTTGCGCCACTATTTATGTTGCCCCAGGTTAGCTTGGCCCATGTCATGTTCCCTCCGCTCTCGTCCTTTATGCCTCGACCCCCTCGATCGTCTTGGGGCCCTTGATATTGCACCGTCCCTATATTAGAAGAAATTTATGTTGCTACACACATGTATCATCAGCTTCGTCTCCTTCCTCCCGAGGTCTTCCTCCCCCCTCAGACTGCCCACGATGCAGCGCGCGCTGCAGCGCGGGATCTCCGCCTTCCTGCACGGGCAGGACAGCGCGGGATAGGGTAGGGTGGGACGTCGTCGTCGTCGCGCGCTTGCCTCCTCCTCCTCCTCCCTCCTTCTCCTCCTCCTCATCCTCATCCTCCCCCTCCTGCTCTATGCGCCGTTGCGGTTTTAAGTGCGAGGGGCGCAAGGGTGACAGGGCGCAAGGGTTGCACCGTTGTGGCTGGCAGCCCTGTCTCAAAAGATTTGGTTTTTATTGTTGACTCCCCCCCGGCCCCCCGCCCTCTTGGGAATTATGCTCCCCCCCCCCGAACGGGCGCAAGATTGCAAGGGTAAAAAGTGCCAGGGTGCAAGGGCGCACGGGTGCAAGGGTGTAAGGTCGCAAGGCACCCTTGCAAGGGTGCAAGGGTGCAAGGGTGCAAGGGTGCAGGGTGCGGTGCAAGGGCGCATGCAAGGGGCTAAAGGTGCAAGGGTGCAAGGGTGTCAGGGTGCAAGGCACCTCGGTGTCCGGATGGGCTGGGTTCTTCGCTCTTGGGCGAGCGCGCAAACGCCACTCTAGATCGAGAAGCTCTGGAGGAAGAGGAGGGTGTGGAACTGAGGACGAGAGGAAAAGGGGGAGGAGGAGGAGGAGGAGGACGACGAGGAGGACGCCAGGGATAAGTAGGAGCAAAGACGAGGGCGAGGAAGAGGAGGAGAACGAGGAGGGGGACGAGGAGAAGGAGGAGGAAGAGGAGGAGGAGGAGGTGCCTCCGCCCGCGCGCGCCCCGCGCGTGCTCCGCGCGTGCTGGTTTGCACGGGGGGGCCTCGCTTTCCTCCTCGTCGTCTTCCTCCTCCTGTTCGTCTTCCTCCTCCTGTTCGTCCTCCTCCTCCTCTTTGTCCTCCTCCTCATCCTCATCCTCCTCCTCCTCTCTCCTCTCCTCCCCTCCTTCCTCCTCCTCCTCCTCCTCCCTCCTCCTCCCTCCTCCTCCTCCTCCTCCTCCTCCTCCTCCTCCTCCTCCTCCTCCTCCTCCTCCTCCTCCTCCTCCTCCTCCTCCTCCTCCTCCTCCTCCTCCTCCTCCTCCTCCTCCTCCTCCTCCTCCTCCTCCTCCTCCTCCTCCTCCTCCTCCTCCTCCTCCTCCTCCTCCTCCTCCTCCTCCTCCCCCCCTCCTCCTCCTCCCCCTCCTTCTCCTTCTCACCCGCCTTCCCCCCCTCTCCTGTACGCTCGTCGTCGTAGTCGTCGTCGCCTTCCTCCTCGCTTTCTGGACAGGCGGCGGATGTGGCCTTTGCGAGGGTCGGCCCCCTCCCCAGGGGGAGACGGCGCTGCCGACAGGCTGGCCAAAGCTGCTTCCGGCAGAGCGGGCGGGCCTGCCGAGGCCGAAGCCCAGGCCCACGAAGAGAGCCAAGGTTTTTTTTTTCTGGCGAAGGGCCTCCCGACTTGACCCGCCATCGCTCCCAAGCCAGGCCCATCCCGCCACTGTGCCTGTGTTGTAAGTACGAAGCATATTGGATGTTCGTTGGGATCTCGCGGGAGGCTTCTCGAGGGCCTCTTCGAGGCAATTTTGATGCCTCTCGGGGGCAGTTTTGGGCCCCCTGAGGGCCTCTTTTGGGCCTCTTGGTGGCCTCCTGGGGGTCTCTTAGGGGCCTCCTGGGGCGAGCCGTCGAAGGACCCAGTTTCAAGCCCGCGCAGAGGCCACTGGTGGGCGCCGCCCACCTCGCCCCCCTCCTGCCTCCGACCTCCGACCCCCCCGCGGGCCGTCGGTCCGAGGCTGGCGACCCCCCTCGGGGCGACCAGCAAGAAGGAGGCGGCCACCCCTGGACCCAGATAAATCAGAGCCTCTGGATGGGCGAGATCAGCAGAGTCAGAGCCCGCTCGGAGGCAGCCCGTGCACGTAAAGAAGCCCAGCGAACCCTGTCGAGCTTGGCAGAGAATCGCAATGGCTATGACACTTCTGCTTTCGACCGCTTCGACAACGAGAGGAGCTGTGTCTTTGCGTGCTGGGCTTGCGGCGGTGACAGCCAAGGTTTTCCCCAAGGCCTTCAATAGTGATTGCCCTGGGTACCCCCCCAGTAAAAACAAGATAGCGGCCCTTAATTGCCTTGAGACCTGCGACCACCTCAAGGGAGGCATGAAGAGCAGGCCCTGTGTTGCCACCCCCATCACACTGAACAGTGCAATCAGGGAAGCGCAGAGCGCGCAGCAGGGACTACAGCAATACACAGACGAACGGTCCTCAGTCTGATGCGCTGGTCCTCCTCCTCCTCCATCTCCTCCTCCTCCTCCTCCTCCTTCTCCTCCTCCTCCTCCTCCTCCTCCTCCTCCTCCTCCTCCTCCTCCTCCTCCTCCTCCTCCTCCTCCTCCTCCTCCTCCTCCTCCTCCTCCTCTTCGCGCGGGAGAAGTGTCAGCGACCGTCGCCGCCAATTTCGTATGGTGCGCCGCGTGCGTGACAAGTCGCGCTGGAACCAAGTCAGATACCACCGTTCCAGGGAGATCCACGCTGTGTCGCACGCTAGCCGCGTCGCGCAAAAAATGGCCCATGCATCGATGACATGACGAACATCAATTCGAAGCGCGCGCGAGTTGCGTCGCACGGGCCCCCATTCGGGGGCCGCCGCCACAGCAGTCACAATGGCGCGCCCGCGTGATAGCGCGCTCACCGGCCGCAACCACAAGGACCACGATCACACCGCGCGAAATGTTTCTCGCACGTGGAGCTTTCCATTGACCGCCATACCACAACCACCTATTGACATGACACAATCGCCACAACGATCTCCCCTTTGTTTTCCCTTCTTCGCCTTTTCTCTCCTCCCTTCTCTCCTCCTTCTGGATCGGCTCCGACGGAAGAGGCGGATAAGGAGACGGACCACCACGACGACGATGACGTTCATGGCGGCGGCTGCTGCTTCGGCAGTGGCGTGAGAGCGCGCCCGCGAACACGGTCCGTTTCAGCCCTGGCTTCAGAGAGGCCGGGCGAGAGGTGGTTTGGCAAGTTCTGTTTTCGACATCCTCGCAACTAGGTTCCGAGATGCCGCGTGCGAGATTGTCCAGCCACTTCCGCGACGGTCACCCTCTCACCTCTGGATCCAGAAATGCCGCGCGCCAGGTTGTCCAGCCATGTCCGCCTCAGACATGATTCGCCTGTTTGGACTCGCACGAGGTTGTCCAGCGATGACTCGAAGTAGCCAGGTCAGTGTCGCAACTCCGATATGCCATGACCTAAGTGGCCCGGTCAGCGTTGCATGAGACATCCTCGCAACTATGGTATCAGAGATACAGCGCGCGACGATTTCAAGCCAGTGTCGCTTGAGGCGCCCTCGGAACTCTGGGCTCCAATATGCCTTGACCAGAGGTGTTGGAACCGTTCCTTGTGAAGTATCGTCAGGTGCCGCGCGAAAACTGGTGTGGCCAGTTTCGCTTGAGAAGTTCTCGCAACTCTGGACTCAAAGATGGTGCATGCGAGGTTGTCCAGCCAGTCCCGCAAAGGTATCCTCGCAACTCTGGGCTCATATGCTTTGACCTGCGGTGGTCCAGCCAGGTTCGTCCGCGATATGCCGCGCACGATGTTATCCAGCCAGTTTCGCCCGAGACATTCTCGCGTTTCTGAGCTCTGAGATGCCGCGCGACAGGTGGTCCAGCCAGCTTCGCCTGCGACGACGTCGCAACTCCAGGCTCCGAGGTGTCGCGTACAAGGTTGTCCAGTTAGTTTCGCCTGAGATCTCCGCGCAACCCTGGGTTTCGAAATACCGCGCACGGGGTTGTCCAGGCAGTTTTGCATATGACATCCTCGCCGCAACTTCCTGGGCTCTGGTATACTCTGACCTGAGGTGGTCCAGCCATTCGCATGAAACATCCGTCAGATGTTGGCAAGGATGCCGCGCGCGAGGTTGGCCAGCAATTTTCGGCTGAGACTTCCTCGCAAGTATGGGCTCAGAGGTACCCTGACCAGAGGTGTTCCGAGCAGTTTCACCCGACTTATTGAGCTGTCCAGGTGTCCTAACTATTGTGCTGCTGCTCGAGCGCCAGCCACAATCACATGTTGGGATGCTCATCGTATGCATATTGGAGGAGTTGTCCAGGTGTCTGGGGGGTTGTCCAGGGATTTTTGTTGTATAGGGTTTCTTTCCATTGACCATTGTCGGGTGCCACCCTGGTCCTTGGGCGTAGCGCTAATTGACGACTTATTCGGTTCCTTCAGAGGCACGTGTTCGGCACGTACGGAGAATTGACCAACACCCACATCATGAGGCCCTCGCCCACCACGGGCCAGAGGTGCGCCTTCGTCGCCTACTCCAGGAGAGAGTCGGCCGAACAGGCCATGGAGCTGATCCACGGCAAGTACAAGATCCGGACCGACCCCGGAGCGGAGCCTCTGACGGTCGCCGGGCGGGGCTAGGACGAGGAGAAGTCCGTTCCAGAGCGTTCCGGAAAGTTGTCAGAGCATTCCAGAATGTTTTGAGAAGGCCGCGGCGCCCGAGACATCCTCCAGAGCCACCGGATTTCAGAGATTCTCGATTTATCTTTCCTCGCCCGATTTTATCCTTGTCCTGGCTCCGTCTTAGGTCAAGTGGGCAAACGAGCGCGGCGGCGGCGGAAAGAGCTGCTGCGGCGGCGGGGGCAAGGGCGGCGACGGTGGTTGGCAGGGCAGAGGCGGTGGCGGCGATTTCCGAAATGGCGGGACAGGTGGCTGCGGCCACGGCGCTGGTGGTACGCGGTTGTACGTGGCGAATTTGCCAGAGGGCATTGACAGCACGACGTTGGAGTACGTCTTCAAGACGTACGGCAGCGTGGCGAACGTGCACGTCATGGGCCAGAAGTCGATCAAGGGATGCGTGTCCGCGTTCGTGGACTACGGCACTCCCAGGGAGGCGGAGGTCGCCATCGCGACGCTGCACGACAAGTACGAGATCCAGCCAGGGCTGGGGCCGATCACTGTCAAGCACGCGGCGTCGAAGGCAGAAGACCCAACAGCTGCACAGCGTCTCTGCACTTCTGGGTCGTCGTTGCTTCCCCCTCGCCCTCGCTTTCCTCCTCCCCTCGCTCGTTTCTTCGTCGTCCTCCGGGCCGCTCCGCTGATAGAGCGAAGCGGGCAGACGGGAAGTACACAGAGAGAGATTCCTCTCGCTTCGCGGGGTGCACGTCCGGAGCACGTACAGTCCAGCCGTTGTGGGGCTTTTGGGGAGCCTCCTGGGGGGCTCTTGGAGGCCTCTTGGGGGCTTCCTGGGGCCTTTTGGGGGCCTCCTGGGGGCCTCTTGGCGGCCTCTTGGGGGCGTCTTGGGCCGTCTTGGGCCGCCTTGGGGCACTTTTGCGCCGTTTGGCCCCTTCGGGGGCCTTCTTGGGGGCCTCTCGCGGCCGCCTTGGGGCCCTCTTGGAGTCCTCGTGGGCCGTCTTGGGGGCCTCTTGGACCGTCTTGGGGGCCTCTTTGGGCCGACTTGGGGCCCTCTGGGGCCGTCTTGGGGCCCCCTTGGGTGCTGCTTGGGTTGTCTTGGAGCCATTTTGGAGGCTGCTTGGGCCGTCATGGGCCTTTGAGAGCCAGAAAAGGCGAGAACGCTAAATCCTTCAAAAACTTAAGGAACATTTATGTTTTTGGCCTTTGGAGGCGCTCTTGTGGGCGCTCTTGGGGCCTTCCTGGGCCATCTTGGGGGCTTTTTGAGCCTTCTTGGGGCCATCTTGGGCCGTCTTGGGGCCGTCTTGCCCCGTCTTGAGACCATCTTGAGCCGTCTTCACGCCCTCTTGGACCCCCAAGAGACTAAGAGGCCCAAGGAGCCCAAATCATCGATTTTCCATTGGTTTTTGTTGGTTTTGAGGCCCCGAAGGGGGGTCGACGGAAGTGGCGCGACTCCGGGGGGGGGGGTAGGGGGGGAGACATAATAATGTAACGCAATGCGATATGTGGCAATAGCGCAATCGTTGGATACATTGGATACGTTGCATTAGGGCTTCCGCTCCGCTGCGCGACCTGCCTCCGGCAACACGTCACTTCCGGACGTGGATTCCTCTCGTTTCGCGGGGTGCACGTCCGGAGCACGTACAGTCACGTCGTCGCGGGGCCTCTTGGGAGCCTCTTGGGGGCCTCCTGGAGGCCTCTTGGGAGCTTCTTTGGGCCTCTTGGGGGCTTCTTTGGGGCCTCTCCCCCCTCCCTCCTTTTCATGCTCCCTCCCCATATCCCCTTCCAGCGCCAGCTCTAATCATGCGCGCCGCCGTGACCAACTTCCACCTGGCTGGCGCTGCACCGTCGTTCGCCTGGGGAAATAACATTACGCTCCAGTCGTTGTGTGGCCTGGTGGGGGTTTCTTTGAGGCCTCTTGGAGGCTTCTTGGGGATTTCTTGGAGGCCTCTAGGTTTTTTGTTTTGAGTTTTTTGGGGGCCTCTTGGGGGCCTCTCGGGGCCTCTTGGGGGCATCTTGGGCCGTTTTGGGGCGTTTTTGCGCCGTTCCGCCCCTTCGGAGGCCGTCTTGGGGGCCTCTCGCGGCCGCCTTGGGGTTCTCTTGGGGTCCTCTTGGGCCGCCTCAACTTTTCTTGGGCCGCCTTGGGGTCTTCTTTGAACCGTATTGGGGCCCTCCTGGGCCGTTTGGGGCCCTCTTTGGAGCCTCTGGGGGCCTCTTGGGGACGTCTTGGAGCCGTCTTTGGGCGCTCTTACGCCGTCTGGCCACTTCGGAGCCCCCTGCCCTCTCCTCTCGCCTCTTTTACCTGCCCTCTGCTTTCCCTCCTCTTCCTCCCATCCATGGGTAGAGCCGGTCAGACGGCACTCGACAATGAGATTGGCCGACGTTCGCAGACAGGCTGAATGCATATGTGCATTTGTCACACTTTGTGTCCCATCTCGCTTCTTTCGCTCTCGCTCTCTTTCTCTTCTTATCTATCGTGCCCGTCGGCATTTCAGAGCTCAGTTGGTTTAGACCGCGGCGCTTAAGGCGTACCAGACACGTCGCACACATGTGGGCTGATTGAGCACAGCGCAGGAAAAGACGGAAAGGAGCCTCTCGCGGCCGCCTTGGGGCTCTCTTGGGGTCCTCTGGGTCGTCTTGGGGGTTTCTTGGGCCGTCTTGGGGGTTTTTGTTGGCCGTCTCGGGGCCCTCTGGGGCCTTCTTGGGGCCCCCTCGGAGGCCTCTTGGGCCGTTTGGGGGCCTTTTTGGAGGCTGCTGGGGCCGCCATGGCCTTCTTAGAGCCGAAAAAAGGCGAGAACATTGAAACTGACCCAAAACTATTGGAAAATCAAGATTTTGGCCCCTGGAGGCGCTGTCGGGAGTCTTCTTGGGGGCCTGTTGGGCCTTTTTGGGGCCTCATGGGCCCTCTTGGGGCCGTCTTGGGCCGTCTTGAGGCCTGCTTGGGTTGTCTTGGGGCCATTTTGGCCCGTGTTGAAACCTTCTTGGGGCCCCAAGAGGCCCAAGAAGCCGAATTTGTTGATTTCTTATAGGTTTTTGTAAGTTCTTGGGCCCCAGAAGGGGCCCTCCACCTTGGGGTCGACGGAAGTGGCGCGACTTCGGGGGGGGTTAGGGGGAGACATAATAATACAACACAGTACAATACGTGGCAATTACGCAAGCATTGGACACATGGGATCAATTGCATTAGGGCTTCCGCTCCGCTGCGCGACCTGCCTCCGGCAACACGTCACTTCCGGACGTGGATTTTACAGGGTTACGCCACATCCGCCGACCCCTTTTGTGAGCGTTGCGAGGCCAGGAGTTTCTGGCCAGCGGCGTGGCAGTTACGTAGGGGGTCCAAATGGTTGCGCGATGCCGGTGGTCTGGGGCGCGTTTTGCGAGCGCCTTGCGTGCTGTGCACCCGGGTGCGGGGTGTCCTTCTGGGCGGTCGGCCTTTCGACCCGCAACCAAATGGAAGACCACCGGAAGACGAAAGGAGCAAGAGTAGTGTGCGGAAGCTGTGATCAGCGAGGCATCACCGCGAAAAATGTGGCAGATGAGTCGAAACGAGTGAAGCGGCGGTTGACATTCGCAGCGCGCACGAAACAGTTCGCGCGGCAGCAGCACATTAGCGCCGAGCAAAATAGTGAGCACGTCGCGAGGAAGAGCAAGGCTGTACGCGCGGAGTGCACTGCAGTTGGCTTGACGGCTCGCAATACGGAAGCGCTTGGGGGTCTTTTGGGGGCCCCCTGGGGGCCTCTTGGGGGCTCCTTGGGGCGTCTTGGCGGCCTCTTGGGGGCCTCTGGCGGCCTCTTGGGGCACTCTTGGGGCCCCCATGGGGCTCGCGCGGGCGGAAAGCTAGATTTTTGAATTGTTGGTTGCCTTCTAGGGCCCCTCTGGGTGCCGTCTTGGGGCCTTTTTGGGCCGTGTTGGGGACCTCTTGGGCCGTCTTGGAGCGTCGGAAATCCGACGAGGCGGTTTTGTGAAACAACCGATGTCTTACGCAGGAAATGAGCAAATTTCTGCGTCTAGGGACCCTCTTGGGGCGCATATTGGAGGCCTCTTGGGGGCGTCTTGGGCCATCTGGAGGCCATCTCGGGTGTCTTCGATCGCTCTTGGACCTTGTAGGACCATGTTGAGCTCTCTTGGAAACCACTTGGAGCGTTCCTGGAGCGTTATTGAGGCCGTCTTCGGGGCTCTCTTGGGCCGTCTTCGGCGCCTCTTGAGCCGTCTTGGCGCCCCACTGGGCTGTCTTGGGGCCCTCTTGGAGTTTTTTGGGGCCGTCTTGGGGCGGTCTTGGGGCCTCTTGGGCCGTCTGGGGGCGTCGGAAAGCCCCAAAGGCGAATTTGTGAAAAATGTACGTTTGACGAGGGGAACGGGCCAATTTTTGCGTCTAGAGGTTTTTTTGGGGCGCATTTTGGATGCATCTTGGGGCATTTTGGGGGTATCTTGGGCCGTCTGGAGGCCATCTTCCGTGTCTTTGATCGCTCTTGGACCGTCTGGGACCATATTGAGCTTTCTTGGAGGCCAGTTGGAGCGTTCCCGGAGCGCTCTTGAAGCCGTTTTCGGGGCCCTCTTGGGCCGTCTTGGACGCCTGTTGGGCCGTTTTGGGGCCCTCTTGGGCTATCTTGGGGCCCTCTTGGAGGCTTCTTGGGCCGTCTTGGGGCGGTCTTGGGGGCCTCTTGGGCCGTCTGGGAGCATCGGAAAGCCCAGAAGGCGAATTTGTGAAAATCGCACGCTTCACGAAGGGAATGGGCAAATTTCTGCGTCTAGGGACCCTCTTGGGGCCCATTTTGGAGGCCTCGTGGAGACTTTTTGGGCCGTCTAGGAGGCCTCTTAGCCCGTCTTTGGGCCATCTTGGGCGTCTTGGAGCGCTCGTTTGGCGTGTCGGAACCCTCGTGGGCCGTCTTGGAGGCCTCTTGGGGCCTTCTTGGACCGTCGCGTGGGCCCGTTTGTGCGCCTTTGGCTCGTTTTGGGACTTCTGCTCCCTCATGACGCGTTCGGCGGTGGGTGCTCCGGGGCCGGGGGGGGCTCAAATCTCCGGTTTCGGGTCCCTGGGGGAGGTTTTGGGGGGGAACTATCTCACACGCCTAGAGACCCACAAGGGGTCGGCGGATCTCTCCTCAGGGCCGACAGCGAAATGCAATCATACCTGTTGATTCGTCCTGCGGATGTTGTTGGCCGGCGCTGGTGGCCCTCCCTTCCCGCCACCCTTTCCTTAGATGCTCCGCAAACTTTAAGGGTAGCTCTTTGGGAGATGTTATATGTAAACGGGAGTATAGCCTGCGCGTCGCTGCCTTATGGCTCAAGACACGCGCGCCCTATTTGCCCGGATACTTGACTTGGTATTCGCTATGTGCTGGAAAGATCACTACGTCGATCTTATCCTGTCTTACTCATCCACACCCCATATCGTATTCCTTCGACATGGAATTGGATGCAATATGACCTACCAGAGTCATTTCAGCCTTGGTAGCGGAGCTGGCCGCACTCTCGTGTGGTCAGCTCTTGCTCTTCTTTTCCTCACGCTACCCGGCACGATCCTCGTGACCAATCTTTACCCTGCGCCACCACTCCACCGACATGTAC